GGCCCCGCCGGAGCCTCCCGGCCCCCCCAGCTCTGGGAGCAGCCCAGGCTCTCGCTGCTCCAGGCAGGAGGGTGTCCATGCTGGCGCCCGGTGCCTTGGGATGACAGCATGAAGGGCAGGGAGGTCCCTCAGCAGAGAGCACAAGGAGAGGTGAGGTGACACAGGGAGGTGACAGCCCAGCCGAGCCAGCATGGGGACAGCAGGGCTCCTCCCTGCCACTGCACGTGTCCCCATACGTCTAGGGACACACTCCCCATAGGTTTCCGCTCCCCACCACATCGACCCAGGCTTCCCAGACGCCAGGAACCGCAGCGGGGATGGGCTGATGGCATCCCACTGATGTGTCCTCACGTCCCTGGCCAGCTGTCTGGACCGGGGCACGTCACCCCGTGTCTCCTCCGGGCACCAGAGCCCCGGAGGTGACCTGGCCCTCACCTTTGGGCAGGGGGGATTTCTGCAGGACCTGATCCAGGAAGTAGACCAGCTGGTACGTCCTCCAGGCTGTGATGTCCACAGCGTTGATCGCCTCCATGTTCAAGCCATTGGCTGCCCAGAGCTCTGCCAGCTCGTCTGCCGGCCTTCTCCGCTCCCCCGGCGAGAGGCCGGGCAGGTAGGGCGGCCAGCCCGGCGTGTTCAGCCAGCGGTCGAACTCAAAGCCTGCAGCAAGGGAAGGAGGGAGAGCTGGGACAGGTTTTCCAAACCCTGCACAGGGTGCTGCTGCCCAGACATCCTGCTGCTTTCTCAACCCCCAACCCTGCCCAGGGATGGTGACAAGCAGACGCTAACGGGGGGGAGGCCGTTAAGCCACCCTGGGCTCGGTATGTGCTTATGCAGTAGCAGCCCCACTGCTGCCGCTGAGATGAGATGGCTCCAGCACAGAACGCTCCTGCCAAGCCTGGCTCCCCGCAGCAAGGCTGAGCTGAGCCTGGGGCACCAGCTGGGCCTGATCCCAGCGCCCGCCAGCAGCTCCACCAGCAAACACACACATCCTGGTGCCAGAGACTCACCAGGCTCAGCTTTCTGTGGGGAAACCCCACGAAACAGCACCTGAGCGCAGAGCCTGGATTTGTACGGGAAAAACATCAGGCTGAGCAGGCACGTGCCCGAGCCCAGGTCTGTGCCTGATCCCGGGCCAGCCAGCACTGTGCCTCCTCCGTTGGAGCCGAGGCCAGCAGCGCCAGCAGCGTTGCCAGTAAACCCCACAAACTGACATGCACGGGGTCTGCAGGGGACGGGGCGGCTCCGACACCCACAGGGTGCTAGTTTATGAAGCAGCGCCCAGTCCCCTGGCCAGGAAGGTGCTGACCTGGGATGGAGTCCACGCCCTTCTCCTTCAGCTCCGGGAAGTACTCTAGGAAGAAACCGAGGGCATCGTCTGCTGTGATGCTCTGGAACTTGAACCGGTTGACGTAGGCCTGCGGGGACAGCCAGGGTGTGCTGCCGCACACGCTCACCCCTGGCAGTGCTACCCAGCCCTCCCTGTGCTCCATCTCACAGGGCTTAGCGCTGCCAAGCCCACGCCGGCCCCTTTCCCCTCCCAGGGGCTGCCCAGCCCCCTGCACCCCCCGGGACACCTCCGAGCATTGCCAGCGTGGGGCCAAGCTCTCCCCTCATCTCATTGCCCCGTGAACACCTGTTTGCCATCACCCCCTCCTCTCCCCAGCCCCCTCTCCAGCCCATCCTTCCCAGGGTCCCATTGCGCTCTGGCCCTCCGCCACCCGGTTTTGTATGACTTGGCACCTCCGCCTGGTACCTCCTCGCACCGACCTGGAGGAAGGCATCAAACTTGCTCTGGTCCCCCACAAGATGGGCCAGGTAGCTCACGAAGCAATACCCCTTCTCATAGGGCGTTTCGTTGTACGTGTCGTCTGGATTAACACCTGGAAAAAGGGAAAAACCCTCAGAAATCATCTGCAAAACAATGGCTCTTGCACTCAGGTGCAAGCCTGTCACATCCCTTCTGGAGCCATCGCTTCACTCAGGTCCCACCACCAGCGCTGGTTTTATCGCAAGCCATGAAACGCCCCAGGAGCAGGGCTTCCCCCCCTCCCAACAGCGCACCTCACTTGCCCCTGCTCCCCCCGCCCGCTGTGGGAGGGCAGGGACGCCCCGCAGACCTGGCTCGATGACCACCCGCAGCTTGTTGAGCGGATGGTCCTCCCCCGTGTTGTCCATGTGCTGGCGCAGGAGGGCCCTTCCCGTCGCCGCCTCCAGGCAGGTGTACGCCAGACCTGGGCAGAGACAAGCAGGAGGCGTTTGGAGACCCCGACCAGACACCTGCGTGCTTGGAGCGCAACGGGTGCTGCTGCGGGAGGGAAACAGCGTGAGCTGATGAGCTGGAAGAGGAGGAAACCCATAAATACGGTGTTGGGACAGTAGAGCTGTGGCGAGGCACGGCAACCCAGCCCTTGGTTAGCCAGAGCATTTTGGAGCCATTAAAATGCAGCTGGATGCAGCAAATGGCACGAGGAGCGCCTGAGCCGCTGGATGTGTCTGGCAGGGAGCTCGGGGCATCCGCTATCGGCTCCCCCAGGCAGCGGCAGCGAGAGGAAGGTGAGGCTGGGGAAGATCGCAGGGCCCACGTCCCTGGCTGCAGGGGCTCCCTCCCTTTCTCGGAGTGAAGGCAGTTCTGTCGCTAACACGAAGCCCCAGGGGCATTGCAGGCTGCTACACTGCACCTCTTCCAAGGTGCGGCGCAGGCTCCGGCCCCGCACGTAGCGCGCAGAGGGATGCGCTGAGCCGCAGTGCACGGCACCTCGCCCCGCGTGGATCCCACCTGCGACGGCACGGGGGGACTGGGCAAGGCCACGCACCGTAGACCTCAGTGGAAATGCGCCTCTGGGCATACATGGTGAAGCCCTCGTTCAGCCAAAACTCGCCCCACGTGGCGTTGGTGACCAGGTTGCCAAACCAGCTGTGGGAGATCTCGTGGATGATGACATCGGCCAAGGAGCGGTCCCCGGCCAGCAGGCAGGGCGTCACGAAGGTGAGGCAGGGATTCTCCATCCCGCCGAAGGGGAAGGAGGGCGGCATGAACAGGATGTCGTACCTGCAGGGAGGAGCGGGCGCTGGGGTCAGACCCACCTCCTCCTGCGGCACGGCTGGGGACGGAGGGGTGCTCCCTCCCCGGCCTCGGGGAACGAAGCCCACCGGGAACAGGAGGCCGTACCTGCCCCAGACATAAGGTCCAAAGAGCTTCTCGCCAACCGCCAGGAACTGCTCGATGACCCCATCGTACTCCTTCTTCGCAGCCTCGATCAGGCAGGGCTCGGCCCAGACACGGCTCCTGGCCAAGTGTGCAGAAGAGGAAGTTTTAACCATTAGCGGACTTTTACCCTATTGCTTCATCAGACAAAAAAAAGCACGTTTATTCCATAGCAAAATAAAAGCCTGCTCATAAAGGAAGCTAATGAGACTGATAGTGCAAACTGGTGTAATTTCTTTCCTTGTCTGAATGCCAAAGGGCTTTTACATGGCTGCTGGGACAGGCGGGGGCACCGGGCTGCTGGGACCGGCCGGGCACCCAACCAAACCACAGGCGCTGGGAAGAGACGTGGGACCCTCTGTGAACGGGGACGCACTGCCCTCGTTCACGTGCATGGAGGATAAAGGAGCAGAGCCAGGACACCCTCGAAGGCGAGGGGACCCGGCACTGCGGCTCCTTCTCACTCGGTGCAGGGAGACGCAGCCGGCAGCTGCCACGGGACAGCACAGGACGGGAGCTTCACCACATGGCTCCCACAGCCAGGGCTTAACGCTCCGGACTCCTCCAGACCCCTCACCTTGGGCCAACATCAGCAGATACAATGTCCCCGACAGCCAGAGCGATCAGGTAGGAGGGGATCGGGTGGGACATCTTGAAGACAAAGGTGTTATCCTCCTGCTTCTCCCAGCTCGTGGCACTCATCACAGCTGTGAAACCCTCGGGGACCTGTGTACGTAGATGCAAACATCTTTTAAATCTGTAATGTACAGAGTGGGACATCGGCTAACCCAGCCAGTGACGCCACGATGTCTGATGGCAAACACATCCCAGCATGCTGAAGGTGGCCGGGTCCGTGGGCACTGCAGGTTTTGGGGTGCAGAACAGAGCAGTAACGCCCTGAGCTCCAACTCGGGATCACAGCTGCATCCCTGCGACAGCATCACGCAGGGCTTGGGTCAAACACCAGCTGGGTGCAACACCAGGACTCCCAGAGCTGCCCTGCGAGGTGCCAGCGAGATAAAGAAATGCTGGAGCTGCAGGTGCTGAGAGGGCAAAGGATGCAGATCCTTCAGACACTGCCTCTCCTCCCATTTCTTACACAACAACTCGTTTTTCCCCTTCTCAAGCCAAAGCAGGACCTGTGGCCAACCCACCGGCCTGGGCTGAGCCGTGGGAGACTGATCCCATCTCTGCTCTTCCAAACGCAGCGCAAGCCCCTGCGGTGCCATGGGGAATACGGTTTTCCTGGTCCAGAGCTCTACCACAGCCGAGCCCCGTGCTCACCCTTCGGGGGGGGGATACTGCCAAAGCTTTAAGGGCGGAAATCAGAGCAAGAGGCAAAATAAATAAATTCTGGCATCACCAGCTGATGCCACCATGTGCTGTCGCCATTGGCTTTGTGGCACACTGGGAAACCGATTCTCTC